ACTGCCTGGTGTGAAAACAGGGAATCATGGTATAAATAGAGCATTTCTCTAGAAGTTCAGACCCGCTGTGCTAGCTTGTGGCTAAGGTACCCTGTGCTGCTGAGAGGTGTTCATCCTGATGGCTGCTGCATGAGAAAGAAAAAAATGTGTTTAATAAGAGGCTCGAATAGAGATAAAATTGGAGAACTAAATTTTAGAGATAGATGTTGGATTTTGAGATGGGTGCAGGGTTGATGAGTTAGTAACTCTGCCTGCTTAGCGTGTTTTTGCACCATGTCATTTCAGTTGATTGTTGCAGCTGACCCGCTTCCAGAGCATGTCGGCCTGTCAGCAGAGTTCAGCTTATAGACGGTGAAATTAGAAACACTCGGAGAAGCTTTCGGCTTTAACCAGGTGTCCGACGGACCACTAGCTTGTCAGACTCAAAAGTCTTCTGCTCTACGTAACTTTTACTTGGATAGAAAGGAATAAACAAAGCATAAGCAACAGGATTCAGACGCTCTAGTGTCCTTTCAGCCTCGTCCTCCATCATACAGATTTCTTTATTGTTTTACAGTTATGAGGTATAGCTGAGGTATTACCAGTGTATTTAGCTGGTATCTTACAAAGCCAACCAATCAGCACCGCTTAGAGTACTGCAACATGGCGGCTTTGTAGTATAATATGGAACCTTATTATGAACCCTGCATACCTTAGCCTCCATGTTTCCCCCATCATTTATCTTTGTTTTTGTAAAACCCTAATGTTTATTAGGAAGTAAAAAAAAAAAAAAAAAAAAAAAAAAACAGGCACTGATAATTGGACCCTTTTAAGGAGAGAAAATATTATTGTCCTCTTGAAATTAATCACAAATTAACTGTGTTTAACCCCGTTTTTAGAAAACGTGGATTGTATTTATTTCACCCTCTGCAACCAGGGCTGATTACTGTCAGATAGCTACAATAGACAGAGCCCTAAAATAAAACCTATACAGCTTCATTAAGTTAATCTAAAATAGGCATGTCAGTCCGTTAGTGCCTTTGTCCTGCAGGTTTCAAGTTTCTGTGCTTTAACACACCTGATTCAAATGATTGCAGTTCAGCATTAAACAGCCATCAATGGAATTAAACTGTGAAACATCTAAAACCTGCTGGAAAGAGTCTGTCCATGATCAACTTTGGGCACTTCTTGGCCTAAATAGTCCTAAAAAGTAAAATGCCCTGGCCTAAAGACACCCAATTCTTGACTTCTACCAGTTTGGAAAAGTTTGCAATTCATTTCTAATACTTTCTGATGTAGTGGAACACGCTTAGTCATAATTCACATAAAGGGAAACAATCAAAACTGGTGAGAGTCAATCAAGGATCCCCTAACCCCCCAAACCGCACTGTTTTTGTTATTGCATCAAACCGTCACCACCACATCTTTTCAGTTTCTTTGAAAACATGTAGGTTCTGACTATCTGTCAACTGATCAACGGGCTAACAAGTTTGAGTATTACTCCAAGAGTAATCCCAAGATCACACAATAACAGCCAGATTAATACACATAAGCCGCTCTGCTCATAATCAAAACTACACTTCTTGCTCGAAACAGCTCTAATCAGATCAAAGATTAATCTCCATGATTGGAAAAAATGCAATCTTTACTTTGTGATTTACAGATTTTGGTTTGCATTTCCCCCAAAGTCGATATGTTTTAATTGATCACAGTGCCTCATTCCCTGTCTGGCAAACCTGTTAAATTACTGCATAGGTCCCAGTTGGAGGCACACTCCCTGAGAATTTAGACCCACCCTTGCAGCCCAGTTCACTTCAACCTTTTCTAACACCTGTAGGCAGATTACAACCTGAGTTTTTGGTGGATTTTTTGCAAAAAGAGATCTAGTGTGGCTGGGCTGGAGGACTGCATCAATCGCTCATCCAGGAGGTCACTAAAGAAACCCTCAACACAACATGGAAAGAGCAGCTGATGTTATTTTCCTCAGCTATTGTCAATATTAAACAAAAATAAATAAACAGACTGTGAAAACCAGCATCCATTGGAGTCTTTAAAGGAAAAAAATTCTAGTAACAAAGAATACAGAGGCCTGTTCTATCTAGAGTACTCAAAAGAGTGTAGGGAAAACATTTTTGATGACATTTTTATGATGTGCTCTCATTGGACATGTTTTCTTTGGTGGAAAACTTCCCATTATGGATGAAATTAAACTTTTTTTGCAAAGAGGAGTGGGCCAAACTTCCTTTGATGGGGCCTAGTCACCTATGAGACTTTATGAAGCAGCTCACTCTGGTTAAATACACCGGCTGTCCAATCATGCTGCTCTGTTGGCTCATTTTGTTTAATTTCTGTGTTCCACACTTTGGTTTTGCTTAATTTATTAGTGAACTTAAGCATTTTGTATATTTACCATTAAACCTTTTTAGCCAAGGTACGATAGTGTGCAAGTATGAAAGAGAATGTTAATGTTAAACCCAATGGAAAAATATTTATAGTCTCAAAAAGTCTAAATAAACACGTTCAGGATTATAACTTGACGAGTATTTCTTTATTCTTGCATGGACATTTGGTTTTTGGAGTTATTTTATAAGCATAGTACGTGACTGAGGTTTAACTACAACGAAGGCTATGCTCCACCAAATATTAACGTAGCACGATTCCTCGCCTCCTAGTGGCGATCTACGGTACTACTGCTCTCCAGACGTAAACAAGCAAACCAAAATGACGGCTCCAGAAAGATTCAGGAAGTTATGTTTTGTAATCATTGTGATATTTCGTTGTTTGCTGAGAGTCAGGCGAAGAAGGCAGCCTTTGGTGAATTTACTTGACAAAGTCGGCTTTTGGGAAGTGGATACGACAAATGATAGTCTATGCAGGGCTTAAAGACGCAGAAAACAACAACGGACGTTGGGGCTGGGGCTGCTACGTAAAAACATCACTGGAAATCATGTGGGATGGTAGGGTTACTACTGAGGCCGACTGTAAGGAGATGACTCGGTCTGCAAAGGCGCTCTTTGTTTTCTGAGAACAGAGCCAGAACTGAACCACGGCGAGCCCTACTGATGAACTAGTACCAGTTTAGCGTGGTTTGGTTGTGTCTGGCACGGTCCGGTTTAGTTCTGCGTGCCATTTACACTCAACAATTATCTCAGTTGCCGTGCTCGGACCGATTTCGGCACGTTTTCAAAAGGCTAGTGTAAATGGGGCTTTAGTTTTGCGGTGTTGTGCAAATATGTCATTCCTTATAATAGTCTACATATTCTGTGGGGATTATTTTTTCTATAAACAGCACACCTGTAAATGCTGGTAAAGATTACATACCCTCTGCTTGTGTTATACTGAAACGGTTTAGGTGAAGAGTAAATCTGCATAATGAATTTGTTCTTCCTTTATTGATGGAGCCACTGCACTCCTTGAGAAGAGCTCTTGTTTTACATTTAAAAATATTATTGCATTAACATTCCTGGAAGCAACTCTAGCACTCGATCAAAAAGAAAACAGGAAACAACGTCAGTCTCCAGGCCACTCAATGTGGATCTCTGCAAGTCTTCAAAGGCAAAAAACACCTGAATCTAATTTATCCACTCGGCAAGCAAATCATGAAGAACAAACTCTCTCCGAAGCAGGAGAGCTGAAGCACACTTTTGGAAATGACATGTGTTATTTAAAAGGCTCCCACTGTTTTAGCCTCTTGAACTAATTCCCCCACCCTGGTCTGTTATTATCTGCCACTATGGAACATACAACCATGACAGTAATGGTGGAGAGAAACAAATTTAGCATATGAAACACGCTGATGAGCATACAGATTCTGTATTTTATTCTTTCTTTCACAAAAAGCACACATGGAAAAGACAGAGTGAATGTGTAGAAGTGGGACATTGCGCCTTCTTTAAGGTAATTAGCAAACTATACTGTCTGTAGTTGTTGTTGTTCTTGACCCTGGAAAAGGGTCCAGTTTGTTAGATCTTTAAGATACTGATGTCAGACAACATTTCTTCTGTTTTTAACTGTCCTGTCTTTAATGCTTTGTAACACATTTCTCTAAATCAGACATGGAGCTAAATGTGATCATTATAAGCAACAACTGAAAATAAAGACAAAGGAAGGCTGCAAAAATGGTTTAAATGTTTTTGGGACTTTTTGAAATGCTCACATCAAATTTATATATTTTCTTCAACTAATCAAAATAGAAAATAGAATCTAAACTGTTGAAGCAAAATACCCACAAGCAAGCTCTTATAAAAAGCAAATATCCTGCGCCGACTGAATTAGATGGAAGCTCGATGTTAAATTTTAGCTGAAGGTGTTATTTTTTGTCTGCTGATGGAGGACCCTCTGAACCTCTCTGATGAATACGGTTATGTTGCTTCACATTTAGGCTGACAGGAAATAAACTATTCAGACTGTGGCCATGGTAAAGCAGGCATCAGCCACCACTAATGACACCGACTAGGGAAATGTAGAAAAAAAAAACACTGGGTGGTTTTCTCTTCAGAGCACCTAAGATATATATATATCAATATATCTATTGATCCCTTTACACTTTTTCAGGAATGGATGACAGAGACCAACATTCAGGCACATTTTTGGGTCATCTTAACATACAAAAAAGCAATCAAGGAAAAAAAAAAAAAAAGAAGAAGCAGAACTTTACCATAATTTCCCCTTTTAACTGAACAATAAAGAGAGCATGTTTCACTATAGTAAAAAGTAAAAAGCTGCACAGCTGAGGGCAGCTGCTTTCTGAACAAGAAGATCTTTATAAATAGTCTGATAAAACAACCAGGCTGCATTTTTAATCCCTTTGTTGCACCAAATAAAGCCCAGCAAACAGCAGTAGAGAGTCTAATGGGTTCATAGATTAACTGACCTTTCATCGAGTGCTTGAGTTTACCAACTTACCACTCAGTTCGAACTTCAGAAAAAACAATGACTGAAACAAAGAAATAAAACACCTGAAAAGAAATTAGCATGACAACAGAAGCTAACTCAGTGCAGTGACTGAGTCCTGTAGTTACCTCTGAATGAACCCTCTGAACATGAGAGTGCAGGTTGCCCTTCTGAGAGAAAGATGCCGGGCAGAACATGCAGAGGTGAGGTTTCTCTCCTGTGTGTTTCACCATGTGAGTCTGCAGCACCACCTTCTGGTTGAAAGCCTTGTTGCAGTGTGTGCACTTATAGGGTCTTTCACCTGAATAGCAGAGGAATATTTGAAACAGAGAGAATTTCTATCAGTGTGACTATTTCTACTGCAAGCTTCCAAATGAGCAACAATGCCATCATCATCATCATTGTCTCTTAATTGGAGAAGATTAGAGCTGGATTGTTTTGAGTCGGTACCATCTCCAAAAACAAGTCCTGACCTAATCGGCTGATTTAGATTCGAAGCCGAATGATGTCATCGTCACCCACCGTTACTCATGACCCAAATCCATTAACGCCTGAATGATGTGTGATCAACATGTGGATGAAACCTGCTGGCGGCATCATCCTTAATTCAGACAGATGAGAGCAACACCGGGGCGTTAAAACTGAACCAGTGCATAACACAGACAAGCGATAAGTTCTCCTCCGTCTTTCTGTTATGGAGGGAAAAGCTGGCTAACTCCTCGATGTTTTGTCAATTAGAAAAATGAAGGACGGAAAAGCAGGAGACCTAAAATATGGGGGAGGTTGCTTAGATATGCATTAATGGGGATGAAAAGACTCAAGTCATGACGACAAACTGGCAAACCTCCTGTCAGCATCTCAGAAACAGCGGAAGATGGAGCAGCGATTAATGCAATTAAAGTTAGTTTTATGGAGGAATTTCTTTGCACATCTAGAGAGCGAAATGTCTTTTTCTTCTGCTTTGTATTTGGAAAACTGTTAAACCTGAGCCAAACTGGATTAAAAATGTCTGACAGCAGAATTCCAGTCTTGCCACAGACCTGATTGAAGACACTGGCATTCACACCTGCTTCAATCCAAATACTTCCTGCTGGAACCTCAGTCCCAATCTAAAAAGGTTTTCTTCCAGTATTTCCCTAAACTCCCACTACCTTCTTTGTCCTTCAAAAAGGAAACGTCCCCACACCATGACACTGCCACCAACATGTTTCAGTGCCCTTCAGAGGCCACAGCTTTTCACAGCCTGTTCACTGGTTATTGAATTCCTACAATATTCTATTATTCCCAGAATGCAGTGGTACGGTTACTCGACTGGAGATGCTGTGGGTTCCCAGGTGCAGACGAACTGAGCACACTTCAACCTGCGATGGGATTCTGAAGTGTAAAAAACAAGGAAGTGTTTAGTAGTTTATTATTTTTGAACTTTTAGATCCAGCTGATAAGCAGCCATCTCTGGAGGTCCCACACAGCTTTCCTTCCTTTATCCTGCAGATGTTGCTCCAACTTTGCCTCCAGCAGTTGTTCTTGGTTATCAAGGTCAACAGACTGTGCTCAGAAAATCCTTCTTTTTATTTCAGACATAGCAGGAAACGATGCCAGGCAGATATGGATTAAAAGTTATTTTAAATTGACCAAAACGTTTGAGCCTGATAGGAAATGATAAAGGTATCTCCTGGTGGAGAACTAATCAAATCATTTCCAAGGGGTTGACATAAAAATATTGCTGTTCTGTTTTTGATTTTGATAAATGAGAAGTGAAAAGAACATTGGCACTAAATCTATCAGAGGCTGCTTTCTTTATCGTTTTGATGTTTTACCAATTGTGCTTTTAATCAGCTCCAATGCTTGAGGACCAGAGGCCTCCCTGCCATTACCTTCATCTTTGGTTACCTCCACAGATCCTTCAGAATCGGGTGTCTAGCTGTGCTTGATTCTATCGGAGCAGCAGCAGCTGAATACAAGTGTGAGCTGTTATGACTTTGTTTTTTTCAGTATCATGCATCATTTCCTTCCACATGGTAATGATGCTTTACTGTATTCTAGCACATAAAGTCATGATAATGGTTTCATTGTGGCACAATGAGGAGGGTTCAATGGGTAGGAATACTAATGCAGGTGAACCATCTGATTTTAAGAAGATGGCTGCAACTATGTATGAGGATCTCAAAAATGGCCTATTAAGTGTGGAAATAACAGAACTAAAATATGTTTTAAAAAAAACAGGCTTTTAGTAAATTATTTAAAAAAAAAACTAAAAGCCAAACAATAAAACATTTCAGATTATTCGCCTTTATTGACTAAAAGTAAGCATTAATGCAGTAAATGCAAGGAGGGACAGGTAGGGCTCGGTATCGTTCAAAAATTTTCAGTGCCGGTACCAATACCGATACCTTCACTTCGATACCGGTTCCTGAACAATACTTTTTTCGATACCAGTTTTATAATATCATTTCGAAGAAAAAGAAAATTACACAACATAATAAAGTACAAATCTTGAGTTTCATTTTAAGCTCTGATTTTTCTATTTACATTTTTCCTCTTACATAAAAAAAATTTTTTCAGTGAAGAACAGTTGCAAACAAGTTAGAGTCTAATATTCACCGTTACATTGTGAGGACCGTTTTACTTAGCAGTTTTTCTTTAGAAAAATTAACATGTCTGCTTTCTTCGGAGACAAACAAGCCTGTTGAATGGGATCCTACTGACAGCGCACCGCTGGTATGTGGGGGTCTGAGCGGCTCCGACAGAAATAATATTGGAAGGCAGGATGGTAATCTGGATGAACTGACTGCACTGATTAAGTTTTCAGGTGGATTTTCCCACTTAAAACCAGTTCACAACAGATACACATGAACCCTGGCTGTAGGCGTGACCACCTATTTATTTTTCCTGAATGACACAATCACGTTAAGTGTTACAGCCAATCACCGAAATTTGGCACCGAAAGACGAGGCATGTTTCGATACTCTGTAAAACCGAAGCATTTCGGTTGGTACCATAAAAGAACCGATGTTCGGTACCCAGCCCTAAAGACAGGAGGACAAACTCTTATCAGTTGATAATATTGCTATAGTTTTAAATAAAGGGTAGAACCCTGCCCACATGCCTAGTGGCACGAGTAAAGAGAAAATATGGATTTATTTCATTTAAATTGAGTAAAACTGATAGTTAAGTCATTAATATAAAAAAGTATGGATGAAGAAACACTAATTTTTTTTCTTATATGAATAAATAAAGATCTGCACTGCAAAAAAAGTTATTTTCTCTTAAATAAGTGCATTTTTTTCTTGAATTGAGGTAAGTGAGGCACTTTGTCAATAGAACAAGACAATTTACATTTAAAATAAGAAAAAACTGCGTTGTCTTATTTCAAGTGCATATTAATTTAGAGTAAAAATACTCATTCCATTGGCAAATTATCTTATTTACCTACTCAAATTAAGGATAAATACACTTAATTTAAGAGATCATTTTCCTAGATGGTTTTTACAGTGTGTGAGAGGTCGGGAAGCTGAGTCTGGTGCTTCTCACTCACCTGTGTGTATTCGTATGTGTCTGATGAGCTGGCTGGGCTTTTTGAAGGCCTTTTCACAGTGATGGCAGCTGTTTGTGAACCCACTGCGATCTATGTTTTTCTTGTAGTTTCTGGAGCTGGAGGTCAGCGCCCTTTGAAGGAAACACGACTGCTTAGTGGTTTAATGAAAAATTCATTTGGATTTGGTCATTAGTGTTTCAAGTACATTTAGAACAAATCCCACTGATTAATAGAAAGCGAAGCACAGAGAGCAGCGCCTTTTCCTGGTGTTTGATTATTTCAACCTTTACATTCAAATAAAAACATCAGAAAACTGGATTAATAACATTGAAATTTCCCAAAGGTCCCCTGCAGCATAAATTCAAAAGCACTTTCTCAGGAGCTAATAGATCCACCTGTTGTGAGGACTTAAATAACAGTTCACAGGACTTTCCATAAAGGCATACCTGGGGGGACGTCTTCTGTTTACATTCCAACAGCCAATAAGAAGGCTGAACTAACAGCCAGCGGAGCTCAGCTTTAAGATTTAACACCTATTTTATTTCCCTTGCTGCATGAATGCTTAGTAAAGTCAAGAGTTCACCACCATCCAGTTCTCTGTTTTACTGTCTTGTTTGCTAACAAGCAGAGCTACAGATGCCATATATGATTAGAAGGAAACATGGTGGAGATTTGTTTCATTTTAACCAGTGGCAGAGAGAAAGCCATAGAGAGAACTCATAGTGTAACAGTACCGTTCTAGGTTTTTTAATAATCCATGTTGAGGAAACCATTAACATCTAGAAAAAGGAGCTCTGGTCAGGTGATCCATGCCAGATTATCCATGCCAGACAACTAACATCAAAGAATGATGGCGAGAGGATCACGCTATGGAGATGCTTTTCTAACAGAGGGACTCTATCCATACAGCCTGGGCTGCAGTGGAGGGTTTTGGAATAAAATCCATGCATCCATTTTCCATCACGTTTATCCCTGCTGGGGTTGTGAGGGGTGCTGGTGCCCATCTCCAGCTGTCAACGGGCGAGAGGTGGCGTACACCCTGGACAGGTCGCCAGTCCATCGCAGGGCAACAAAGAGACAAAAAGGACAAACAGCCATTCAAATGCAAACCTAAGGAGAATTTAGAGAAGCCAATTAACCAAACAGTCATGTTTTTGGACTGTGGGAGGAAGCTGGTGTACCCGGAAAGAACCCACGCATGCACAGAGAGAACATGCAAACTCAATGCAGAAAGACTCTGGGCCGGGAATCGAACCCAGAACTTATTTTAGAAGACAAAAGGGGATTTTTTTCCCACCATCTCTGTGACCTTTAGCACCTTTACCACAGACAGACTTCTTAAAACAGCCCTGAGGTCTAACAGGTAAAGCCCCTGTCACACCCTGACGATTTAGCCAGGGTATGGCTGATGTGCCAGAATCTCCTAAATGCTAGCATACGCTGAACTTTCTATGTATTTCTTCAATTTTGAGCGTATACATAGCGTATTCATAACGAGTCCATAACTTATGTCCAATGACAGCCTAACTTACTGTATGGATAATGCACGGCAGCTTAATGCCCATGAAATGTCACAAGCCAGTGTCCTGAGAGGGGCAGTGATGGGCCTGATGGCGACCTGCTGGCATAAATGGATGTCTTTGATCGCGGTATTAACCTAGCTGCTGTTGACCACCCGCCTAACTATAAAAAATGTATAAAAAAAAGAAAAAGAAAGAGGGATTTGCAGTTGCATCAGATTCAGCATCCTGTCAGAAGTTTGTTGGTCGTGGCCTTGGGAGTGAACGTAGGGAGGATCCATCACATTCGCCCTATGATGGGGATGAAGTCTAGAGGAGAACTGAACTCCTCCTGTAAACCCCTTTTATACCAAAATGCTGCCAATACACCAATGTACAGTAGCTGGAAGTTAGAAACACATTCAGTGGTCTTCTGGAACTCATCGATTTCGTTGATATGTGTTGGAGATAAGTTCTTGATAAGTTACGCACAAGTTATGCCCAAGTTGCTCATAGGTTTTGGAAAAGCTAGACACCATTACTTATGAGTAACTTTCAATTAACATATGTCAACCATCAAATAACTTTCCTATAACTTATGGCCCACATATGGCATACGCTGGCATACGTCTCAACGTACTTGCCGTATGCTGACGTGTGCCAGCATGTTTCCGCGTATTTCAACGTAACTGAGCGTGCTCATAACTTATACAAAACGTACCCATAACTTATCCAACGTATGCCAACATTTTTGCCAGACTTTTTGTACGTCAGACACACGCTGGTCTAAATCGTCAAGGTGTGACAGGGGCTTAAAGTTCTAAAGCAGAAACTATTGCAATAAACGTAATTCACTGCGATAAAGAACAGTATGCGTCGTAGCCCTAGCATTCATGATCCAGATTAGGAGCTCTCCATCTAATCTGACTGAGCTTCAGTCATTTTACTGAATCAGAAACATTTTAGTGTTTAGGTGTGAAAAATAAACTTGTGGAGAAAAACTGGCAACTGTTCTTAGAGATCAATTATTGCAACTCCTACTTTTATTCATTCAAGTCAAATTGAAATGAACTCTGAACCTCAAAATTCTCCTTCTGCATCTCAGTGTTGCAATGCTTTGGGTTGACTTAAAGCGTACTGAAGCGTTGGGCTGTAATTTGACAGAAGCTAAGGGAATATTAAGGGTTTTTCTCTTCAGCTGCAAACTCAAATAGCCTCCAGTTTCCAGCGAACTATAACATTTAAAATTCTTAAATAAACTCACATAGCAGGTATAAATAAAACAAGTCGACTGAAAAGTGCTACAAGATGGTTTAAGGACAAGGTGCAATATTGACATTGCTTGATTCTAAATATTTTTGTCGTTTTTAGAAGAAACTGTAAAATAAACAGTATCCATCGACCGCATTCGTTTTTGGCTAAAACTGTACAACAAACCAGGACGTCCATGTCTTACCTCATCTTTACGTGACTCTTCGTGTGCTCCCTTAACTCCACAAATGTCTTGAATTCCCTGTGGCACGTTTTGCAGGTGTACACCTTGACGCCCGACAGCTCTTTCCGGTGCTCCTCCATGTGCAGAACCAGCTGGCTCTGGAGCACGAACTCATCGCCGCACTCGGAGCAGATAAGGTTCTGTCGCAGCAGATGGACATTGTAAACTCAGAAATAGAGCTCATCAAGTATTCGGGTGAAATCCTGCCGTTCTGTGTCTACTAGAAAAGCAGCTCACCTCCTCCTTTTTGTGAAGCATGACGTGGGATTTGAGGCCAGCGATGCGGGAGAACCTCTTATTGCAAACAGGGCAGGTGAAGTCAGACGTGTTGTGTGTGGACTTGTGCAGCGTGAGGTTGAACTCCACGTTGAAAGTCTGTGGGCATTGGTCACAGCGATGAGGCTGCAAAGAAGAAGCAGAAGTTGTAGCGCCGGTAAAGCAAAGTTTAACTCGGCGTCCACAGAGCAATTAAAACGACTGGATAAACACTGAGATACTGAGAGGCAGTGCTGAACAATATCTCTAATGAGGTGAAAGTGCCACCAAAACTAATTTTCCTTTCCATCTGTGAGGTGAGCTGACTTCATCTCTGAAAGCCTTTTTAATGCAGTGAAGGCTGCGAGCAAAGCTGAACCGTGAGTCTCAGTCAGAGCTTCAGAGCGCCGGGCTGTCACTCATCCGCCTGCAGAGAATTCAAATGAAGATGGAGTCTTTGCATTTGAAACGGCGGATAAGTACAGGTGCAGAAAAGTAGGGGGGGTCTCGATTTTATTACTGTCTGTATGTGTGACTAATAATGCGATAACCAAGCACTATTTCTGAGCGCGAAGAGAAAAACTTTATGCCAAGCATTCATACCATCACATACCAAATTTATTTATAAAGCACTTTCAGCACCCAACAGGACCAAACTGCTATACACAGCCATTAAATACAAATATTCAATCATAAAACAATAAATAATGTGGTGTAATAAAGTAGTAATAAAATAAAAGGCAATAATAAAAGAACCAAAAGAAAAACAAAAAGACAAAGTAATTCTAAAAAAGAAAAAAAAACAACATTCCACTGGACTTTGTTATTCAAATTTAATGTTTTCACTTCCCATCCAGAAAGCTTTGCCATCCCATATGTTGCTAGAGTCTCTGAAAAACTCAAGAGGATTTTCTCCAAAGACAAAATTCCAGTACATTTCGAACCAAACAAGACTCTTAGACAGAGGCTAGTGCATCCTATGGACAAAGCCCCAGATTTAAGATGAGCGAAGTGTGCAATTCAATGCAGTGAGGAATGCTCTGATCTTTATATTGGAGGAACCTAACAACTTTATCACAGACGCATGGCTCAACACAGACGGGCTACCTCTTTGGGACAAGACACGACTGTACATCTACACCTTGAGGACAAAAAAATTCGTTTGAAGACCTGAATGTTCACATTTTGGACAAAGAAGACAGGTGGTTTGAAGGGGGTGTAAAGGAAGCCATTTATGTTAAAAGAGAGTATCCAACCTTAAACAGAGGGGGTTGACTCTCAAAAAACCTACAATGCAGCTATAGAGTTGATTCCATCTCACTATCATAATCCATTTCGCTATGCAGGGGACCAAAACATCTCGCCTGGCGGACTCCCTTTTCAGAGGCATGGACCAGGACAACATGACCTTATGACTCCCCATTGCTTTTTTTTGGTTCGATTTGCATGTTTTCTAAGCCATAATAAGGCCTTCGTTTTGGCCATTTTATAAAACCTGGAACTCAATGCTACCCCAGACATTTTGAATTGAGAAAGCTTTCTAGATGGGAAGAGCAAGGTCTTCAAACTTGGAAACTAAATCCAATGTTTTTTTTTTTTTTACTTTTTTGGAATGACTATGACCTGGATGACCAAGAATCTTCACCGGTCTAAAGGGCTGGTTATAGCATTATGTCGCACTGAGCTTGTCGCAGGTATGATGCAGACATTTTTGATTTATACTCAATATTGAAGCGTGGTCTGCATTATGTAAAGGGGAAAATCACGAACTAGCTGTGGGTCTAGATACGGCAGAGGCAGTGAGAAAGTGGGTGAAAGTTTGTCTGACACTGTGACACCTACGCAGACGATCTAGTTCCGGTGTATAAATCTGCTTTAAGACAAATTCAACATCTAAGATTGTGTTAAAAGTAGTTTTACATCAATACCGATACCAGTATCGGGCGTGGCCCCGATCCAGCACTAAAATGGTGATATCGGCGAGTACCAACAAATAGGGCACCGATACCATTTTAAGAGTCAAAGGTTTATTCAACTATTGTCACCGATTCCAGGTAGGCAATAAAAAGTTCTACTGGATTCACTTTGTATTAGTCTTTTTCCTGCTTCACAAAAGTAGGCAGCAGCTTGACAAAGCCACGACGGCAATTATTTTACATCCCAGTAGTATGCAGTTCTTCATATATACACACATCAATGTCAAACAGATGGTATCGGTAAATACTGCACAGCCAGGTATAGGGTATTGATAAAATAAATGGCATCGGCGCAACACTAGATAAAAGCCAAGGAGAAGAATTGGGTCTTAGGAAGAGATTTAAAATCAGAAGGTGAAGAGGCCTGCCTGATGGCCAAGGGAAGGTCATTACACAGCTTAGGGGCTGCAACAGAAAAAGATGGTCTCCTCTGAACTTGTGTTTTGTCTTTTTCACCCTCAGTAACAAGTGGTCAGCTGATCTAAGGAATCGAGAGGGTGTGTAGGGATGAAGCAGCTCAGACAGGTAGGGAGTGGCAAGACCATTAAGGGCTTTAAAAGCAAATAAAAGGATTTCAAAATCAATCCTAAAATGTAGTGGTAGCCAACATAATAAGGCTAAATTAGAGGAAATATGACCTTGTACCTGATAAAAGAAGTGTAGCAGCATTCTGCACCCTGGACCACTGTTTGAAAAAGATAGGTCTCAACTTTGCTAGCTGCTCAAGTGGAAGAAGCTGGATTTTACAGCAGCTCCTAATGTGAGATTCAAACTTCAGACTTCATCTGTTTTGACTCCTAAATTGTGACATACTGGGCCAAAGATCCAATATCAGACAGGGAGTCCTCATTAGAACTACCAAAAATCACCTACTCTGTTTTTCGTCATTTAGTTTTAAGACATTTAGGGCCATCCAGGCTTTCAAGTCTTCCAAGCATAAAAGCAGAGACCGAAGAAAGGTGGAGTCAGTTTTCTTCAGTGGGACATACATTTGTGTGTTCAGAATATTTAGCAAGAGGAAAGGCTCCATTTGAACATCCTAAGCAAAGAACCAATTAGAAATACTGCATGGTGGAAACAAAGCTGATAAAGACTCTTTGCTGAACTCATAGCATTCCCCTGTTTGCACAAGAACCACCGGCAGCTTCCTGTTTTCAACCAGAGTTATATAAAGTTCAATATACCGCTGTTTGGATGAATATTAATATTGTGTCTCTTGTTGAGGATATGTGTTTTACATTTAATTTGAGGCCAAATGGACAAACATTATGGATCAGCTGTCAGCTGCAGCCTTTCGGGCCATAAAAGCACTCAGCTCAGTTTGAAGCAGCAGCTACTTTTACACAGTTGTTTCATATTCATTCATTTACTTCTTTGATTAAATAACAACATAAAACAACTTGGCATAGAACTTCCAATCTTGCCATCTGTAAATCTTGTTTTATTTTAAGCATCAGGAAGAAAAAGAGGCAGATGTACTTCCCGGAAACGTATATGCCACATATCCAGGAGTTTTCTAAAGTTTAAGCTTAAGTTGCTCACAATTATAATATATTAAGAAAATGCTGTTTATTTATTTATATGGTTGGTCTGGGAATTAACCCAATCTGAATGTGAGTGAATGAATCATAAACACAGAAAACTTTCTTTCCTAACTTTTAGTTTCTGGGAGAAACAAACTGTAGAATAGGAAGTTTCTATTTTTGGTGTATTATGATCACCCTGTTAAAAAATGCCTCATTAACTTGAAATATGGAAGCCTTTTTTTTTTTTTTATTGCCATGGCGACCAACCCAAGATCTCCACCAGCTTCATGTTAGTAAAATCCCTGAGCTGATGTTGCCTCAATAAAGCCCTAATCCTGCTTCTTAGTCAGCCTGAGGGATGCGTCTACCAGCAGGGACTGGTAGACGCAAGGGACTTGAAGTCTTCTAGCTCAGTTAACATGATGTACCGTCCAATCTGTTCCTCACAACTTCAGCACCAGAACAGTTCCAGCCAGAAAACTAAAGGAGCCATCTAACTAAAATTTTACCAGGTGGCATTGTTTGTGTGCTTTAAATCATTCATGGGAATCACAATAGAGGTATGATTGATCCTTAGGTGAGGATAGAATAAAACTGAATAGAATAAAATGGAATAGAATAAAATAGATAAGAATAAAAAAATAGGATAAAATGGAATAGTATAGATAAGAATAAAGTAAAGTAGAATAGAATAGAACAGAAAAACATAGAATAGAATAAAATATAGTAGAATAAAATAGAAACAAATAAATTAAAATAGAATAGAATAAAATAGATAGGAATAAAAAAGAATAAAATAAAATATTTAAGATTAGAATAAAATACATTAAATTAGAATAGAAAAGAGTAGAAAAGAATAAAATTGAAAAGAATAAAATAGTTGAAGAGAATAGAGTAGAACAGAATAATATAGAATACAATAAAATATATTAGAATAAAATAGAAACCAATAGAATAAAATAGAACAAAATGAAATACAATAAAATAGAATAGAATAGGATAAGAGAGAATATAATTGAATAGCATAGAAGAGAGGAGAATAGAATAGAACATGTCCTTTATTGAGGAAGACACAAAAAAAGTAGAGGACAAGTGGAATAGTTCAAATACACACCACAGTTAAAATGAAAAACAAAACAAAAAAATGAAAATATAAAATTTCCAAATTAAAAGTCAGAATAAAAGTCTGAGTTTCAAAGCAGTAATGTTAAAACGTCTCCAGGAAGCAAACCCCTGCTCTAATGAAGTTCTTTGGGAGCCAAATGTAATATAAATGTTTTGAACGTGTTTTGGGAATATTTCCCCAGCAGCATCTGGGAGTTCTTGTGGCCTCCGTGTTTGATCATCATGATCTGGTAACTTCATTAATTATCCATCTTATCTGATGCAAGCGAGGTTGGCAATGCTTTATGTTTTTCTGGGAAATTTCATGTCCTCCTGGATGAGCTGCTGATGCCCTCTTGGATTAATTTTGACCCTTGGATCACCAAGGCTCCAGCTTTTCCTCGTTTATAGAGATCGCCTCACTGCCGGTTTGCTGGAGTCCAAAAGCCTCTAAAAAGGGGAAGTACTCTATCCAGTTTCTGCTTCTTACAGCCTGCTTCACGATGCCAGACAGCATTTAGATCAAGTTATTGCCAGCTTCTACAGGTCAGAGATGCTTGTAAGACGTGGTCGATTTTAGTTATTTCATGACATAACAGTAAGTGCAAATAAAAGCTGCTATTTGTTTGATATACAAACAGATTAAATTATGTTTTTTACGTTGACTGTCACAGATATGCTACAATCTTGCTCCAGTCTAAATACAGCCAAGGAGGTGAAAGCTATAAACACATTAACCCTTGCATGGAGTCTTGGTTATAGGCTCAAACTCAGCCCATACAGACATTTTCAATAAGCAGCGTGAGGAGCACCACCGATACTCTACATCCATTCTGAACAATGATAATGTTTGTTAGATAATACAGGCTGGATTTCAAAAAAGCTGTGAACGGGAAAAGATCATAACAGATGTAATATTAGAAAAAGAATCCAAAAGAACTAATGAACGATACCTTTTGTTGCAGGTTAAAGGCGATTCTATAGAGGCTGAATACCAAAGCATAAAACAGTGGACAATTTTTCATTTTTTCTTTTAAAGAATGAATCATTTTTCTTAGCTAGTATTATTATGTGAAGCTTGAAATTTTCTATTCTCAAATATACAAATGTACTTAATTTGTCTTTTTCATTAACAGATTGGAATTTTAACCACTTTTGAAAAAAGTTTAGGATTTTTCTATTATATAAAATAAAATTATTCCAAATTCATGTATTGAGGTTTATTGGTTCCACTGAGGAACAACATTGCGCTCAAGAATAATAATAGGTTTAAGGCTGCGACTAACGATTTATTTGCAAATCGATTAATCTGTCGAAAACTTTAGTTTTTCGATTAAGAGGCTAATAATCAGATGGCAAAAGGTTCCTTAAAGAATTTTTTACTGAATAAACCAGGTGAAACTAAAATGTTTTAATTTGAGGAGTTCTGGATTTAACATATTGATGGATGAAAAAGTTTTTTTTATCTTAAATGCTAAATGTTAAATTTTTCTTTACACTTTTAATATAATTACTGTTCTAAGTGGGTTGTTCTGTCAGCTAAAAGCATCTTTTACAGTCTCATTACACCATTTAATGATTAATTGACTACTAAGATAGTAGAATAGAAAATAGAAAAATAGAAAATTATTACAATAATCGATCACTCATGATTAATCCATTTAATTGTTTTAGCCCTAAATAGGTTACATACCAGAGGAAACCTGTGTATGATTAAATGTTTTCTGCAAATTCAAGGTGTGAAAACCTGGCTGAAGGTAAATAAATTAATACAATAAAAAACTACAACTGGGAAAAAAATACTTAAACCACATGTTGAAAGCAAAGCAATTAGCTTTCTTGCTTTTCAGGCGATCCTGAATGGTTCCTCTACTGGAAAATCTTAGATTTTAGGCTACTGGTTGTTTTCTCTGCTGGTAGGATTTGGCCTTAAGTGTGCTAAATCAAGAATAGGCATGTGTTCTTTGGAATTATTGTTAAAGTCATTTATTTTCCTGTATTCATAGTATTTCCAATTCCGTTAAGAATAAAATAAACTAACATAACCTAACTATGCACAGTAGAAAACAGTTTGCATCTCCTGGTTGGAGATAAATAGAGTCAAATAAGGTAAATGTCTCCTACACCTACCTTATCGTTAAGCTCATGTTCACGGAGATGCTTCTGCAGTTTGCTCTCTTTGGTGAAAATCTGCGAGCAAATGTTGCACTTCTTTTCCCGTGATCCATCACTGAAACCTGCAGGAGACACATTGTTAGTTTGAAGATGCAGTCAGAGACGCTTTATGCTTTAAATAATGCATAAAATGCTCCTAATGTTTAGCAATCTTACAATAGCCCCTATGGCGAAATAAATGTTAACATTCTCAATAATTAAGACACATTTAATAAAAAAGTTGCCGATTTAGCAAATAGGCTTATTGGGTTTTTGGGCCGATCCTCCAACCACCCTTTGAAGAACATTACTGAGCAACTAACGGCTCTTTAAACAGGAACGAACCATGAAGATGTCCCAGGCTAGTTTCAGAGAAACTTCCTAAATTCAATGGTTGCATTTTGCAATTCAGACACATTTTACAAGCTTCTCTCAAACAATATGCTTGCATGTTGTTCACACTTTAAACATGGCTTTCCTCCAATTTAGCAGTTATCAGCAAAATAATGAGTATTAGAATATATCAGCCTGACTCTAAAATCTCTGATATTTAAAATCTCATAGGAATAACTTTGCTTTAGTCCATATTTATTTAAACTTTATATTTAATCTTTGGCCATTAAGAAATGGGTCCTTTTTTTGCAGTTTAGTACTTTTCTCCGTTGGAGAAATGTCACTTGATCAAGCCTTTTCTATTATTCCACACTATAAAATAAGTCATAAAAGTATTTATGATTCATGTTGATATTGTATCGGATCAACACAAAAAGTAGCAATATTATTTCAGAATTAAATAACTGTATCGGGACACACCTTCTCCTAGTTCCTCATTCTAACCAAAGATGAATAGTGGAGTACCTCAGGAGTTCATCCTTGGACTTCTCCTGTTTTATTCGGCAAATTCTCTTTTGTCTTTAAACACCTTCAAAAAAAACATTTAACTCTATAAGAGGCTTTATAGGTGCCTCATCAGTTGAATCGTGTTGTGATTTGGGCTAAAACAATGAATCGGATTAATCGTGATCGATTATTGAAATAATCGTCAACTAATTCAGTAATCAATTAATCGTTATTTGGAGCATAGAGACTGTAAAACATGCTTTCAGCCGCAACCCACTTAGAAAGGTAACTATATCAGGATTGTAAATATATATATATATATATATATATATATATATGTATATATAAACATTTTGCATTTCCGATAAAAAAGAAAAACATTTTGTCATTTGTCAATATGCTCTATCCAGAACTACACAAGTGAAAAAAGTTTTGCCTGGGTTAATATCATAAACATCTTCTTTAAGGAACCTTTGGCTACCCGATTATTAATTGATTAATTGAAAAAATAATCAACAGATGAATCGATTTGCAAAATAATGATCAGTTTCAGCCCTAGTTGTGACTTATCTTTTATTTTTTTGCAGTCCAGTTTTGATTCATGTAATAGAAAATATTGTATTGCTGTTTCCAGTTCCTTGCACTTTTTGTATTTGTCAGCAAGTTGCTTTGACTATCAACTAATCTACCGATTCCTTGTTTTATAATCATCACTGCAACTTCTTATTTCTTTAGACACTATGCAGAGCTGGAATAAAATGTATTTATACCAAGGAGATGTAGATTTTAATTTATTTTTGTGGTGTCCAAAATTATTGCAAATTACACTAATGTCTCCAAAAAATAAGAGAGTACGAATATGTATCTTTAAATAGAAAAAAACATGGTTTATATTCACTTATCTACAGAAAAGGTTGTTCAAAGTTATCCGAACCACTCTGATTAACCAACAGAAAAACATTTATTGTTTCTACAGCAATCACTTGTTATGACAATCTCTTTGAATGTACAATTCATCTACAGCAGTCTGATCCGAACATTAGAGGGCTCTTTGCCATCACCCTAATCTTCAGCCTTTAACAGATTCAGTATTGATTCAGATCTGGTCTACAACTGGACCAGATCCAAAATGTTCTTACGGAAAATTACGGAATTAGGCAACTTTTTACATGCTCGAGGGGTCCCTGATGCTATTTCATTAATGGAAGAGCAGACGGTGATTAAAACAAGAGAGCTAGTTTAGCTCTAGACAAGGCTACGGGTTGATGCTAACATATTTGTAAGCTGTCAGAATTCTAAGAAAAAAAGTCAGATTTATGAGAAAAAAAAGTCTGAATTATGAGATTAAAGCCAGAATTACGAAATTAAAGTCAGAATTATGAGAAAAAAGTCAGAATTCTAAGAAAAAAGTCAGAATTATAAGATTAAAGTCAGAATTATCAGAAAAAAGTGAGAATTCGAAGATTAAAGTCAGAATTATGAGGAAAAAAGTGCGAATTCTAATATTAAAGTCAGAATTATGAGAAAAAAGTCAGAATTATAAGAAAAAAGTCAGAATTATAAGAAAAATGTCAGAATTATAAGAAAAATGTCAGAATTATAAGAAAAATGTCAGAATTATGAGATTAAAGTCAGAATTACGAAATTAAAGTCAGAATTATTAGAAAAAGTCAGAATTATGAGATTAAAGTCAGAATTACGAAATTAAAGTCAGAATTATGAGAAAAAGTCAGAATTCTAAGTAAAAAGTCAGAATTAGGAAATTCAAGTCAGAATTTTAAGATTTAAGTCAGAATTATGAGGAAAAAAGTGGGAATTCTAAGATTAAAGTCAGAATTATGGGAAAAAAGTCAGAATTCTAAGAAAAAAAGTCAGAATTCAAAGAAAAAAGTCAGAATTATGAGATTAAAGTCAGAATTATGGGAAAAAAGTCAGAATTATGGGAAAAAAGTCAGAATTCAAAGAAAAAAGTCAGTTTTGACTTTAATCTCGGAATTCTTACTTTTACCCTATATTAAACGGAAATAAAATTTAAGAATCAGTTAACTTTTTTTTTTCAGTGGCCCTAATGCTCTTCCGTAGAATCAGGTGTTGGGAAAACTAAAAGAAACTTTTTTTTTTTTTACTTTTCAGTGGTAAATTTTATTAACATCGTAACTGTTTTCTTTCACAAACAAATGAATAAGTCCATTTCACAGTTTGGGTGGGACTCATTCAACTTGGTATCAGTTCATAACTGGGTGCAGCACGCCCACTTTTTAGCTGACAGCTTTCCAAAAACATTTCTCGTTTCTGGCTGAAAAAAAAAAAAAAGTCTTTCCACCTTCATTTCTTCAGTTAACTGGAATGTCTTATTAAGGCACAGATTAGAATGTAATTTATTAAGTGATGTCTTATTTAAAGATATCAAACTCCAACACAGAACGGTGCATAACAATCCTTGCCGTCAGACATTGCACTAATATGACGAAGTAATATTAATCTGCATATATGTTCGTTACATTCATTTAAAAGTTAGGCTAAAACAACTTTTTTTTCCCTTTGCAACCCGCTGCATCTCTAACACATGGAAAGCGACTCCACGCCGCTCTACGGCGTCTAAATAACAAAGACAAACAGTTTAGCGTGCTAACTGTAAAGCTAATGGTGGCAAAACGAGCTAGTTAGCACCGTAAGGCTAACAAGGAATTTCTGATAAAGAAATGTTGCAGTTATAAAGGGGGAACTATAACAGCAGGTATCCGAGCCTCATCCGCTCCTCGCGGACAGCAATTTACACTGGAAGCCAATAAGAAGAGCCACCGAAACGTTATTAATATCATTCCGCCTCAATCACTCCTTCGCCGCACAAAGCAAAGCCCACACTCAATACTATATCCGGGGACTATATACACCACATTCAAGTGTTAATAAATACACTGCGGTGGTACTTAGTAAGATAATACCCGGCTTTTTGGGTAGCGCATAACCAGTGCTATTTATTTCTTGTATTTTGGTACTTGTTACCTGTTTCGTCCTTTCTATCTAGGTGTAGTTTGCGAGGCCGGCCCGGCGGCATAGTTCCTGTGCTCAAGACGGTTGTGCTGTGAACGATTCGCGTTTCCAAAATGGCGAATCGGTCATCTATAGACAGCAGGGACTCCATGAAGACGCTAAAATACACGGAGTACAGAGACATCTACCGTCTGTCTCACTGTACATGCAGATTATACGCAAAACATTTTCGAGATGATCGTCCAAGTTAGAATTATAAATAATAATACCTGAGTTTATTAAAAAAATAATTATATAAAACAAATGATTACATTTTCAAGTAGGGTCTCAAATAAATGAGATAACGTAATCTTTAACTCAAAACTTGCTACTTGAATAAAATTAAATATAGGACAAAATGAAAAGTATTTAAAATCAGATTTATATATATATATATATATATATATATATATATATATATATATATATATATATATATATATATATATATATATATATATATATATATAGGAAAAACAACGCTTGTTTTGTAAGGAAAAATCCTAATTCCTCAGCACATTCAGTCAGTATTTGATAGAATTATTTTCTGATGTCTGTTTAATGTTTTAGCTCAAAAATCACTAGAAACATCAAGTCCCAACAAATATATTTAAAAATTTAAGAAATTGTTATTTGAAGAACATTTAAATGCCTGCATAATTATTGCCAAGCCAGTATGAATAATTTAACATTTAAATTTCTTTACAGAATTATGGCTACTGTTTTTGAAAACCTCTATTTATTTTAACCACTAAGCTATTGAACATGAATTATCTCAAAATTGAATATTATAGAAAACAGCAAATGCCAAGAGAGCCACAATATATTAAAATCATGATTTTTTTCTTCATAAAGTTCATAATTGAAATATATATATATATATATAGTAAATGTTTTTATATATATATATATATATATATATATATATATATATATATATATATATATATATATATATATATATATATATATATATATATATATATATATATATATCAATTTGATGATATAATTACATTTCTGAAGGGACTTAATAAAAAAGGTCATATATTGAAATATTTATATGTTAACAATTTATTACATAAATGTTAAAGTACATATTTGGTCAGTCTATTGTATATAGACTAAGTGTATTTAGAATACTCTTTCTTTTATTTTTCTTTTGGTTTTTGTGCATTTTACATTATTTCATACTAAAATTATGAAGCATTTTCTTAGGGGGTTAATCTGGGTTAATCTGTGCTATGAATCCACAATGGCCAGTATAAATGACCAAAAACAATGTAATGCTACCAAATGACTAGGACTGACAGAAATCATAGAATATAATCAAATACATTTTTTTTAGAGACATTTCTCAATAATTGTCTTATAAGCCTATTATCTATGTTTCTCATTTCAAATAAAAAAACAATTTATGATTTTATTAAACACCAATTTAATAATCTGTCTAGTTTCCAATTTTAAACTAACCCAACTAAAACACAAAATTGACTCTGCTAACTTTTATTACCAGCAGAGGGAGGCAGTGAGTTTTGAATGAGAACTGTTTTTACTTGACAATAATCCTGGAAAAGCCAGTAAGATGACTGTGCTAGCTGCTCGTGAATCCTATTCTCTGAGCTGCTGTGACTGAAATCTACCCCAGGCGGCATGGGACACGAAGAAGGTTATGCTATAGATGTTTTTGCAAGCCATAATGAAGCTCCTCAATGTGATAGATGTGTGCTTCTGTGCCTATGTGAAACTCACATAAAAAGACCAATGCATACCAACTCCACATAGAAAAGCCTAAAGGGTGTGGACCACAAATATTCAAGCCTACAGTGCAAACTGAACTCCACATTCAGACACTTGACTCAGTAAACAAAAGGGTTTGCAGAGAAGTCTGTCATATTATTTCTTACAGTCAGTCCCAGAAGTATTCATACCTTTTGTTTAACATTTTGCAACAAAACAGCCCAAATCCTCAGAGTATAAATAAGTTGTAAAGGTGCAAAGCTGTAAAAAAAATAAAAAAATAAATCCAAAATTTGAAAATCCTTGTCTCAAGTGGAGGAGTTCAGATATCTTGGGGTCTTATGAGGGACGGATGGAGATCGTCAGACTGATCGGAGAGTCGTCGGTAGTGATGCGGTCACTGTATTGGACTGTCGTGCTGAAGAGGGAGCTGAGTCAGGGGGCAAAGCTCTCGACTTACCGATCTTTCTACGTTCCCACTCTCACCTATGGTCCTTAGATCTGGGTAACGACGGAAAGGACAAGATTGCGAATACAAGTGGCCGAGATAAGTTTCCTTCGCAGGGTGGCTGGAGGCCCGCTTCGATATAAGGTAAGGGGCTCAGTTGACCGGGAGAAGCATGAAGTAGAGTTGTTGCTCCTCCACGTTGAAAGTAACCAGCTGAGGTGGCCTGGGCTTATGTTCTGGATGCCTCCTGGTCGCCTCTCTCGGTGGGTGTTCCAGGCATGTCTTATTGGGAGGTGGCCTCGTGGAAGGCTCTGGACATGCTGGAGGGACTATGTCTATGAGCTGGCCTCTTGTCGCCTTAGGGTCCCCCAAGAGCAGCTAGAGGAAGTGTGTGTGGATCTGGAAGTCTGGGCATCTTTGCTGCCTCCATAAAGCGGAAGAAAATGGATGGATTAAGTTTGAAAAAGGTCAAGACTTTCTGAAATCAGTCTTTTGTGGCATTTACAGCTACAAGAGCCTTTTATCCATTGAGCATTTACATACCAATTGATCCATTGTCTATCTTTGCTGACAGAGGTGGGACAAAGTCATTATTTCCCAATTCACAAGTAAGTCTTTTCTGCCAGGTCTCATACCAAGTCTGAGTCATTTGGTATAGATTCAAAAAATTAATTAAAAGATCATGCATCAGTCATCCCTGAAATGTTAATGATGCGAGGAAACCAACAAATGCACATCAATGTTTTATCTTACTATTCATTTCTATGGTAAATTTGGACTTCAATGAAAGTATCAAGTAATTTAAACTAAAGATTCTCAGGTCAAGTTACAAGTCATTGGTATTGAAGGTAAAGTAAAGTTGTATCTTTTCTAATATAACCAAGTCAAACGGAATATATAACATAAGTCTGACTCGTGTCCATTTCACATCAATGTCCTCAGCTGTGACTTTGTCCAAACTCTGAGAATACATCAGGGAGATGGCCATGAGAGATTAAGCGCTCCTCCCATCATGGGAGGAAAACCCTCTGCATGGGATCTGCCACCAACAGATAGCAAAACGACTGTCTGATATGACCCAAACCTAGCAATGGCTAGAGAGGGTCGGACTGAAGGACCGGACCTGATCTACCCTACCAGATACCAGGTCTAGGCAGTGGTGGAAAGTAACAAAGTATATTTACTTGATTGCTGTACTTAAACTTTTTATTTGGCCATCTTTACTTTATTTGAGTAATTTCTTAGGGGTGCTTATAACTTTCATTCCACTACATTTCAAAGTCAAATGTCGTACATTTCTACTTCGCTACATTACTAGTTACTTGTCACCTCTGGCTCAGATTAGATTTGTAATCCTTTGTTGCTGGTTTTCTTTGTTGATATGCAATTTCCACATGGGCGATACCAGTGCTGAATTTGGACACCACTGTTTAAGAGGTTTACACAACATTTCACAAATATAAGGAACACGGGGCAGATATTATTTATAGTTTATCAATTTTATTAAGCTGTCAGTTGTTGCCATGTGGCCAAGTTGCTGAGTATGATGCTCAAGAGTTGGGGTTTCTTTGTTGTAATAGATTGAACCTTATACCACTATTCTATAGTGACAGTGTGCGGGGAATCAAGACTCTCCTGTTTTCTTTTTGGTTTGTTTCTGAAAAAGAAATAATAATCAAAATAGCTGTCTTTATTTTTATTTTTTTGTCGCATTTCTATGCCGATAATCTCAAAAAGAGGTGTAGAATTTCTAGCAGGTCATTCTACGCATCAGGTGGTTTCTGAAGTTACAAGGCTCTTAAATATTACTCTGAAAATGATACAGAAATGTACTGATATTAGAAAACACAATTTCTAAATTTGAATACAACTTCAGTATTATTAAAAGTTAGTACCTCAATACTTTAACTATAGTAAATTCTACTTGTAGTTGAGTAAGATTTGACTATGAATATCAATTATTTTATTGAGGTACTACTGTTGAGTACTTCGTCCACCACTGGAGGTCCAGTGCTTAAGGATACCCAGAGAAACATCAGAATTTAACTTCGGGGGCCACACAAATTTATTCTAAAAGCAACAAATGGGCCTAGGGAAGCACGTTTGCCTAGCCTAAAGAGAATTTAAAAAGAGGATGGTTTACCCATAATGCTAAAGAAAAACCTACCCATGTCATCATGCTGCCACCACTATTTTTCATCTTGGGACTGGCTTGTTCCAGGTAATATGCAGTGTACCATTTGAAAGCAGAACTTATATGACTTAATTGACCAGAGTACCTTCTTCCTTATGTCTGCAGTGATCCATATTTGTCCTTTGGTAAACTTTAAGCAGGACCTTGTCTTTCAACAATGGCTTTCTTCTCCACTGTTCCATAAAGGCCTGTTGACAGATTCTCACACAGGTTTAAAGGAGATCCTGTGAAGCTTGTATTACAATAGAAAAGTAAAAAAGAATAATGCTTAGACACACAATGATGCAACTTGAGCACATCTGCTTTGTGGATGTTGTACGGCATGTATCACATGGTTAGAGCCTAATGGTCTCAGCAACATTTCCTCTCTGATAGACCAGCAGCTGACTCTCACCTGTGTTTCTTCGATTTCCAACAGGTAAAGTCAGCTGCTTCACTCTCTTTGAATAAGTAACCACGAGCATGCTCATTTTGAAAGCACATCTGCAGTTTATTTTAGAGCCCCTCTGCTGCCCACAGATCTACCCGCTGAAAACAAAAGATTGGACATCCCTCTGACCTTATGGGATTGTTCACACCCTTCTTTCCTCCCTTTCCCTTTTTACTTTTGGGACTGTGGTGTTCTTTTCTTCCCTCTGACCACAGTCAAGAGGAGGGCAATCAATCATCGAAATTGTCATGAGCTCTGGGAGTGGGACCACA